GGCTGAGAACCACTAATTTAGATGTCAGTGTTTCCACTGAAGTTGGTTTAAGGCAGGCCTAGCTGTATGAGCAGCAAGCTTCCTGCTCTGTGGATATAACAGGGACAAAACCCATAGGGAGTGGAAGAATATTATCATCTCATTAACTCAAGTCTATTCTATTGCCTCGAGTCCCAATTTCCATGGTTATTTCTTTTTAGGAATGTTATAAAAATTCAGAAAAAGAGGGAATATATGCAATGGAGATTAAGATGGCAGAGCGAGAGGATGCTGAGCTCATCTAGCCTACAAACAAGTCAAAAATACATCAACATACGGAGCAGCTCTCACTCAAAACAAACTGGAGACTGGCAAAAAGAGTTCTGTGACCAAGGCTGTAAAGAAAGATACACATCGATTTTGGTAGGAAGGGAGAAGTGATCAGGTTGGGACCCCCACCCCTAGCAGGGGTACAGAAAAGGAGGGGATATCATAGGTTTGGAGATCCTCCCTGGGGACTGAGGGGCTTAAGACACATATTGGAACTCCCAACCCTGGGAATTGACACTGGGAAGACAAGTCCCATTAGATGTGTTGAAAACCAGTGGGATTTAGCAGAGAGCTGTGAGAAACAGACTATATATACTCCTGAAGGGTGCGGGGGTGCACGCACACACACACGCTTGCTTACTCCCGGGAACAAGGCAGAGGAAAGACTGAAAACTGCTTGATGCTCCTTCCAGTTTCCTATGACCAACCCAGTAAGTGCCCTGGCCCTCACTGGATGCCAGCTCCAGGAGCCCCCCTTGCTCTTGTGCAGCTCCCCACTATGGTAAAGGCTGCCATTGCCAGGGAGAATGAGTACCTGGGGGAGACAGAGCCGGCCTGGACTCAGCCCAAACAAGATGAACCCAAAGAGACCCACAACAAGACATATAATTAAAATGGCAAAAGTTAAAGATGAAAAGAGAATTTTACAGGCAGCAAGAGAAAGATAAAACTCTAGAAACACAATCTTCCAAGACTGAATCTGGAAGAAACAGATAATCTGGACAGACTGATCACTAGTAGTGAAATGGAATTAGTAATGAAAAAACTCCCACCCATCAACAGTCCAGGACCTGACAGCTTCACAGGGGAATTATATCAAACATACAAAGAGCTGATATCTATTCTCAAACTATTCCAAAAGATTAAAAAGGATGGAACACTCCCAATTTATTTTATAAGGACACCATTACCTTGATACAAAGACAAAGATACCACACAAAAAAAATTACAAGCCAATATCTCTGGTGAATATAGGCACAAATATCCTCAACAAAATATCAGCAAACCAAATTCAACAATATATAAAAAGGATCATATACTATGATCAAGTGGGATTTCTAGGGATGCAATGGTTGAATATCCACAAATCAATCAATGTGATACACCCCATTAACAAAAGGATCAAAATCACATGATCACCTCAATAGATGCAGAAAAAGCATTTAACAAAATTCAACATCCATTCATGATAAAAACTCTAAATAAAGATGGAACAGAAGGGACATATCACAATATAATAAAAGCCATTGTGACAAAGACACATCTACTATCATACTCAATGGTGAAAGCTGAAAGCTTCTCCTCTAAGAGCAGGAACAAGACAAGGATATACACTCTGGCCACTTTTATTGAACATAGTTTTGGCAGTCCTAGCCACAGTAATCAGACAAGAAAAAGAAATAAAAGGCATCCAAATTGGAAGG